AGAGGTTTAATATCCAGAATATATAACAAACTCAAAAAACAGAGAATCAAGACAAGAAGTAACCCAATTAAAAGATGGGATAATGAGCTGAACAGAGAGTTCTCAAAAGAAGAAGTAAAATATCTATGAAACATTTTAAAAGATGTTCAACATCACTAATAATTAGGGAAATGCAAATTAAAACCACTTTTAAGATTTCATCTTACCCCAGTCATACTGGCTAAGATCAAGAGAACAAATGATACCAAATGTTGGAGAGGGTGTGGGGAACACTCATCCCCTGCTGGTGGGGCTGCAAACTTGTCAACCCCTATGGAAAACAGTATGGAGAACTCTTAAGAAACTACAAATGAACCTACCATTTGACCCAGTTATACCATTCTTTGGCATATACCCAAAGATCTCATCCTACTCAGAGACACTTGGTATATCCATGTTTGCTGCTGCTTTTTTCACAATAGCTAAGAGATGGAAACAACCTAAGTGTCCCTAAATTGATGAGTGGATAATGAAAATGTGGTTCATTTATACGATGGAGTTTTACTCAGCAGTAAAGAAAGATGAAATCATGAAATTTGCAAGTAAATGGATGGTACTAGAAACTGTTATACTAAGTGAAGTAACACAGACTCAAAAAAAATCGACATATGTTCTCCCTCATATGTGGATCCTAGAGCCAAACCCTGATAAGTGAGTAGGTATCTAGACATAACTACAGGAACCAGGATAATGGAAAGGAAACAGGGAGGTAAAGGAAAAGAAAGAACCTGAAAGAGGAAAAACAATAGGAAACAGGCCTTAATAAGGGGGATATGGACAAAAATTGGGTTAGCTTAAGGGAGGGAGGGAGGGAAGGGTATACAAGGAAACTAGGGGATAAAGGGAAAGAAGGAGCTCAAGAGAGGTAGGACTGTAGGAGGAGGGTATTATTAAGGAAGAAAGGGGGAAATGGGGACACCTTAAGCAGGAAAACCATGATGTAGGGGTGAGACAATGCAAGAGATAAATAATGCCTAGCTAGTTTTAAAAACCAGAGGGAACCATATTACTCCAACAATCTACTGACAAATTATACATACCAGATCAAGAAATCTATGTAAGGTTTATCTGAGA